AAAAGCTAAACAGCGACGTTGTTCGTAAAAACTTCTAATCAAACTACATATTATATTGTAAAGCATAAATAATATTATAAGGGATAAATGGACGGCGTATTAGATTTTATAACAAAAAAAAATAGGAAAGATAACTTTTTTATTTATTAATATTTATATTACGTAAACCTTATAGTTTTTTCAATAAACTATATTAATAATACCTTAGTTATGAATAAAAAAGTTATAGAACATGTTTAAATAATATTGAAGGATCACAGCTATTGTCTCACCTTCGAGCGGGCGCGCGGCGGTTTTTACACCGCACATTTGAAAAATTGGCGCACATTCATTAATAATTCCATAAAACTAACCTAACCAATAGGTATTCTTTAATTACTTATTTTGGACGAAAGATAGTGCAGTCGTTGTAGTTTCAACACGTTTGGGCCAGCTACTGTTTAGTTTCAAACAACAATAGGCGCGTGGCGGTATTTACACCGCACTTGGACACTCAAGTTTAAAGCTAAACAGCAACTGGCCCGAATGCATTAAAATTGTAACGATTGCACTATCTTACGTCTAAATAAGTAATTAGAGAATACCTAACGAGTTAGGTTAGCTGAATGGAACTATTAACGAATGGGCGCGAATTTTTCAAATGTGCGGTGTAAAAACTGCCCGCGCGCCCGCTCGAAGGTTAACTATTGTGCCTAGACGGTAATTGTAATTTTATCTTATTTCAGCTAATTTGTAATTTAATACCAAAATATTAAAACGTACAACTCTTATAAGTTCTGACAAGCTTTTTTTTTCATTTTAACACCTTAGAATACTATAAGATTTAAAAAATACATTTTTCTTAAATTTGTCTATAGTTAAATAATATTTTTACTCTATATTGTACATAGCTTACAGCATTATTATTATACAATTCAATTTTTTTTTTACTTTCATGTTCCTATAATCTCAAATTTTACCACTCTTCTGTTTTCAGGCTTTCTAATAGTTATGTAATTTCTCCCAAAAACGGCTTATTGTTAACATACAGAGAATTTTATTTTTTTTCAAAGAATTTTAATTTTGTATTTTGTGATAACCGAACAAAAAAAAAACCTGTGAATAATTTTTATATTGCCGGCAAATTGTTTCAATTATGCAAATACCGGTAAAGTGCACAAAGCACATTGCGAGGGCTGAGAGGTTGACAATGAATTTCTAACCGTTTTGATGGCGTGTAGTAAAAAGTCAAAGTACTAGGGCAAAAACGTATATCGTAAGTGTAAAGCGGCAACAACAGTGTTTTTGTTTTAAAGTGTATTGATATGTGCGAAAATCGAAAAACGTGAAAAAACACACTTGAGCTAAAAAATATTTTTACATTTACCACTTCCAACTTTTTACTATACCACAGAAATGGGTGGTGTTCTGTGTGTTGTTATGAAACAAAAAAAATAACTGAATAGTATTTGACTGGAAATACTTAAAAGAGAGACAAAATAGATCCCCATGGATATATTATTACGCATACAATTTCCATTTAATATATACATATATATATGAAATATTATAATTTTTCTCTAAAAACCGGCCTTTTTTTATCATTTGCGAAGAAAACGAATATATTACAGGCGCAGTTTTTTATATTTTAAGCCGACTGGCAAAACTTTATGTAATCAGTTATACAACATAACCAGCGACAAATACATATTTAAAAACGCTTGCACGACTACACTGATTACATTTTACAGTACATTTGTATGTATTACAAGTAGTTATTTTCATTTCTCTAATATATCGTATTTCCATTTATTCAAATAATACGTATTGAATTAATTTCTTTTTATTATTATACATTTTTGATAATCCAATTATATTAATTAATTGATTAAAACACAAAATATAATTTCGTACAGGTAACCATATCGTCATTGAACTAGTAAGTTTTAGTTCTTCTAAACTATATAGGATGTATGATCTGAAGATTTTATAAATGTTTAGATCATTGTAATATACCCTGTATAATACGTAAAAAAGATTGTAATAAAAAAAGCAATTTTAACCACGAAGTCTTTTATGTTTTCATTTTTTATTCATCGGATAAATATTAACTAAACACTTTAAACATATTTGATTTTCCCAAAACTCATTAAAAGTTGAAAAGCATTATTAAAATAAGACTTCTTTCGTTTTAGTTAAGCTATCCAAAATGTATAGGCAGCCCATAATAAGCCATACAAATAAAAATAAATATTAACAACTGATTGTAAGTGAGTGAAACGTATGATTTTTAGATTTTAGTTCAAGTCTTTACACTAATTATTAAGCCATAAGTAATTATTTTCTTTTCCATGAATAATGTGAGCGCATGAAATTCAAAAAATTGTGTAAGTTTAATACATGTTTTATGCGTTATATAGTCATAGTTTGATAATATGATACAGGATCAAGTTGTATTAACATAAAAATAATATTTTAACCCGATTATTTAAGTTTCTAACCTTTGACGGATAAATAAGATTTATCATATTCTGGTGTTTACATTCGAAACAACATGTAATCTATTTAATCTAGAAAAGGATTTTAATTTAGAAGAAAATAATAGCCACAGCGTATCGAATATTCTCAAATCGAATACATTTAATGGACGCTATTCGAAACGGGTTTTTTAGCAATATTTTTCGGTATAAAAAACCAATCCATGAATCCCTCCCCTTCCCACACCAAAAGGACCAACTGGTGTAGGTCAGACACACACACATACGCACTTACATTATAAACATATTACCGGACTGTTTATTCATCGTGTTCACGGGAGTGTGTACGTGAAAGCGTTCAGTCAACGCGCATCGTACCTAGTAGCATGTATATCGACTCGAAGAAGCGTAAAAAAAAATATATATATATAAATAAAAAAAGACTTACTCGTATTATGAGTTAGCCTTTGAAATTGCCGTGCGTCATCCATCACTCTCGCGGTGATGAAAAAAAGTAATAATAATAATAAATAAGCAAAAAGCTTTGCGTTAAAACCTGAAACGTCGGCCGAGCGTGAAGTACCTGGCGTAGAGGAGCGGGCATTTTCCAAACACCTTACACGACGTTCGAACTCGGGCCATGTATATATAGGTACAGTACACACATATAGTCGGCCATCGAAATGCGCCGCTGATATTGGATTATACCCTTCGCCGCGTCACTGTCACTTATCATAGTAACGACGTTGCTACGTCTTGTCGTTCAACTGATTATATTATGGCCAAAGAAAACCAATATGAATGGGACATGTGTGCCCCGGCCTGTAGCGTATGCCGTCAGTGCAAAGGGGGAAGAAATGAAAAAGAGAGTTTAATTTTACAACGTCCCTTAACGCCACTCGTTCGCGCGGAGGAGATCAAAAAACGATAGTCGAATTGGTGTGACACACACTGCGGTTATGCAAACAAGTGTAAAGAGGTAAATTTTTTTTATATATTTTCTTTTTTTTTTCACCGCGAAGAAGTGTGTCAACATACGGTGGCGGTAAAAAAACAGTACAGTATTGTGACGAGCCCAAAATTGGATTCCGCCGATGACACTTTTTCCATTAGGAGGGACAAACAGCGAGACAAATCGATTTTCTTCGAGTTGTCAACTTGTCCGCGTGTACTGCGACTAAAGTAAAGTGTTGAATGCAGACCTCTCTGTTATTTTATTCTTTTTTTTTTATTATTATTTATTCCTTTGACGTTGCATATTTTATCATCGTGACGGCTCGTTATATTTAAAAAAATATATAGAAAATTATGAACAAACAATACGGTAAACTGTAATTATTATCACGTAGAAAATGTTTGTCGACATAGCACAAATCAACTCCGAAGTGTGTACACACAAAACCCACTAAACCACTATAGCTCCGCTCCCCTATCGGCCCTCTTATCCAAACCAATCAATAGTGGATTAATATATTATAAACGGAATCTTAGTTAATTTTCAATTTTTAATTGAATAAATTTAATTTAATATATATTAAAACAAAATCTAAAATAATACCTTTTGAGGGATAATTGTTTCAAATAAAAAACATGTCACCATTTTCACTATCATAACCGTACATACTATGATTTTTAAGGCATTTAATAACGACCGGGTCGCCATAGAGAAAGGGAAATTGTTTTCAATAATTATTGCAACGTTAGGGAAGAGGATACACAGTCGCCTGTAAAGATTATCGTGGTAAAATATACCACGTTCTTATGTTATACCACATTAACAATTTTCACACCTTCGAGGCAATATGCCTGCAAGAGTCACTTAATAATAAATTAAGCTATTGGATGTTTAGTACTCTTAGCTTAAATCCCCTTTGATCCGCACGACCGAACCCAATTACATAATAATGAAGTATCTTGCGTTCGTGCGATAACTTTCAAAAATTGCTAAAAAAAAGTTAAATAAATATAATTATAAAATTCGAAGAAAAAACTCCAACGCGTTATATTTGAATTAAAAAAAATAAAAAATCTCATTTGAACGATACGCGAACGAAATCTCGGCACGTTGTTGCCCTCTCTCGAGGGACCTTACGCTTTCTCTTACTTTTTTAAGTTAACTCGTGTCAGGTGTAGTAGACAACCTGTCATAATACCTACTTGGCAAATCTGTAGTCATACCGACCTCCTAGCCGTAATTGGAATGTAATATTTATACCCGCTGAGAATTTATTATAAAGTATAATTTATAACCTAGTGTCAGCAGTTAATAATTTATTATAAACACATTTTTTTTTGAAAACGTGTTATTAGACTAAGTAAAAAAAGCATCACATTAAATATGTATTTCATTAAGTAGTAATAAAAGAGAGAAGCGTCCTCTAGTTGTTTACTTGTGTTAAATCTTAAAATACAAGCCAATTTACCTACTTGGAAAAAAGACCAGATTAATAATTATTATTATTTTGTATTTCTATTTTATTATTTTTGGTTATCATCAAAAATAAGTATTTTTTATTCACACTTCGATTATTGTTTGTTATTTAGACTGTGGCCATCTTACGCTAGCGCGCACAACAATTTGGGGACATTGATGGAGAGATCCAAAGATGCTGAACATCATTTCTTATCAGCTATTCGCTACTCTCCGGGTCACGTTAATGCACATTACAACTTGGGTCAGGTTTACAGGTTCGTATTATCAATATTACTGCAGAGTGTTAGTCCGCGAATAAACCATGTCAACTATTATTATCTTTATAGGTTAATGAATCGCACCAAAGACGCGGTAGCCATGCTGGAACGGTGCCTGAAGTTGAACAGTGGTTACACCGCCGCTTATTTGTTGCTGGCCAAAATGCACACTGGAACCCAAACCGGGCGACTGTTGCAGTTCGTAGCGACTTACCATCCCAAAAACCCCGACCATCAAGCTCGCTACGCTCAATGGCTTCACGACAACCGTAAGTATAATATTGAAAAAAAATAATAATAAGCGCCAGTATGCATCTGAAATAAAGAAAACATAGAATGTGTTTTGCAGCTATTCCTAATCCTCAGACCATAGTGCTATTCTGTACTAAGCCTTAAATCCACCATCTATGAGATCAGTGGTCGAGAAAACTTACATTAGTTGTACTATTACGCTTGTGCTTGCAGTACCCACACCTGCGCACTAGTTATCGAGCAATGAGCATGCACAAGAATACAAAAAAGTAAGTTTGCTCGGTCTTTGATCTCATACATGGTGGACACAATGCTTTGTATAGCGTAGCTGTATTCATAGTACATTATGATCAAATATCTCTTATCTTGATTTACTGTATTTCTTACCTATCAATCACTATTCTCTATCTCTTATTTACTGGTTTCCCCTTATTTCCTTTTATTTGCTACAATTACTTCATGTTGTATTTTCGTATCGATTTCAATATGGTTATGAGAGTAATAACATAATAATATGCTACATTTAAAAAATGATTTAATAACCGATTCGATTAATAATTACACTTAATTCAACTTAAATTTAAAAAACAACGTTTTTAAAGCAGCATAATAGCATCATTAAAATAAAAACCTACATTTTTAATTAACAGAAATCACTAAACGTATGAAAATATATATTTTGCTTTGACATACTTACTATGACTTCCTTATAATGATACCAGTATCAATGGATCTCTCATGGTGCATTAAAGTTACAGAATTTGTTTTAAGTTAGTCATTTTGTGCCCACACTACTGTTACAGTAACCGGAACTGTTAACTTGTGTTTCCAACTCAATATTAAACATTAATGATTCTTAGTTAACAATATTGCCTCAGCGATATTGATAAAGTTAAATTTCACCGTTGAATTTCACTATGGTATTTACACAGTGCACATATACATAATAGTTTAAAATTCAATGTTTGCGTATTCCTCTGTTCTCCCACGATTGAGCCTTATTACTTTGAACATGATGCGAATCCAATGACAGTGAATACCGTTTGCTGTATATACACACTACCTACTTGTTTTGTTCCGAGGGTTACTATTATCTTTTCCGAGAAAACCTTTACTATACGGTTTCTAAATAATATATAATGTAGAGCTTGCGTCAGACTACCAAGCGAAAATTTGTTTGAAGATCACGTCGTATCATGATTAAAAAAAACTATATGGTCGCCATCTTGTTCTCCCCGTAGATTTCTACCAAAATCGATATCTATGTAGTGATTCATAGTTTATAAATATTCAACTGAAAAAAAATAGAATTAACATTAAAAGCTTTAAAGCTAAGCAAAGTTTAAATTATTCAATTAAACCATATGAAAATATAATATATTAATACCTAACCGGTCGGTTGATATATTATAGCATATATGCATTTACTTGATTTTTAAGAATACTAAATCTTAAAAGAAATGATGTACACTTTTTCTTTTAAATTTTTAAGTAAAATTGCATCAACAAGAAATATAAGACAAATTACTCAATCTTAATAAGTTCTTGATTTATAATATAATTTTGAAATCTATTAGTGTTGTAATATCATTATATGTTATTTTTCAGATCGTACGACCGAAGCGTTGTTTTATTTCAAAAGAGCTATGGCGGTCAAAATGGAACACAGGGAGTCGGTCCTGGGTCTAGCCAGAGTACTCAGAGATCAAGGACAAAAATCCAGAGTATACAGGCTCATCACGTGGTAAAATAACAATCACCAAACATATAAATTTTTAAATTATCAGATTTTAGTGGATGGAAAATTATCCACATTTATCTAAAACTCCTCTTATAGAATACCTAGTAAAAACAACGTTTTAGCTTAAACTGTTTTTTTGTCTTGAGGTTTATGCCCAAAAATTGTACAGGATTATCATACGAATTTGATTCGTGTTAACTTCATTGCTATATCAACGGCATAGTGTACTTTATTACAATTTCACAGGAAAAGAGTTTATAAATGCATAATGCGACATAATTAACCTATGAATTTAACAAACTTGACTTGTCCTACAGAGAGTCAAAGCGGGGAATAATATTTTTAAGGTTGGAGTTCAGGATAGAAAACGGTTTCTGGATTTTACCGGTGTGAAATTGCGTTTGGGTTTCAGTTTAAGGGTCTGAAACCATAGTCAGTTTTTTCGGAGTTTCCTCCGTTTTTGGGTCTTAAAACGGTTTTTATTTGTTCGGACAACTCGTTTTTTGTACCCACTGTGTCTGTAGCAGTATTTAAATATTCGATTTTAAGTATTCATATGCCTAATTGCACATATTAAGTATACATAACTCAGTTGCTTAAAAAAACGTCACTTACTACAGTCCACACCTATGCATGCAACATGTCATATTCTAATTCTAATTTACTATAACTTTTTTGTCTTTCATTGAATATAACAATACTGAGTTTTTTCTGCTTTATATTTATTACTATGTTTAGCAGATCTAGCTAAAATTGTATGCTTGTGCTTTGGCAGGTGGCAGATGATCAGGCGTAGACACTCGGTACAGGGTGGCGGTCGAATTGTGTTTGCCGGCGACCTTTACGTCAAAGGATGGCAGCTGTACAAACAGGGACAGACAACAGCACCGTTACCTTCTACAGGCGACACAACGCAGCGATGCAACGCTGACGGAAAAATCGCCATGTGCAATGTAAGTAGTACATCGATTGAACATAAAACATAATTCTGAATCAGACATTCGCATAGACCGACCACGATTTATTTATTTTCCTTTTTTCAATCATACATTATGAATTATACCTTCCTCCATAAATCACACTACAAACATAATTTCTGTATAAAATAATATGTTATGCAATTATTCATATGGATGAGATTCATCGTCGAATATAAAATATAATGATGTGATCTAAAATGTACAGAATAATATCTTGCTATATAATATAGGTATTTATATTGATAAAACCAAACGTTGTGTTTCTGTCATGGAAATAAACCCGAAAATCAAATGGATTTGTAATGCAATATAATATTATAATGTTCAATAATAATTCTCTAAGGTCTAATAACAAGTTTTTTAATATAATATGTTTGTACGGTTTCAATAGTTCAACAGAATAATAAACACTTTTTTTTAATGATTTTAGTTTTTAAGTAATTTTTAAGCAGGTACAGATTTTAGTTAAAGAAAATGAGATTGAGAGTAAATGGATTAAAATATTTACTCGATGGTTTAATTTTTAACGCACCAACACAATTGCTTATACTAATTCATTTTTTTTTTTTTGTTAGTTAATTATCCCAAAAGTTTATTCATTATTTATTTTATTCATAAATTTCTTCCTTTTTTTTAACTAAGTACTAACTTTTCTGGGTTGGTTTTTATCTTTTTATCTTATTTATAGCCCAAAAAATATAATACGCATCTATTATAACTTTTTAAATAAGTGTATCTTAACTTTTATTATTTAATGTCAATAAAAGAGTACCTTTACATTCAAAAAGGTCCACGGGGACGATCAAACAAGACAGCTGTCTCTCCGTCGAGCCACATACAGCTAAAGCGATATCTACGCATAAAAATTATTCTTCCCTTGAGATTAAGACAACCGATCGTATTTTTTAACAATAAAGATTAATATTTATGAACATACAAATTTAAAATATTCATACTAAACACATTTCCTTGTAATACAATTGCGTTATTTATGAAATTATACAATTTATGATTTTCAAATGTATTAATATATTTTGGTATAGAAATAATTGTAATCTTTAATATCTGACTACGATTAAAATAGAGATATTAGAAAAAGCCAATTTATATTTAATATACGCATAGGCATTAATATTAAACAAAGACCGCATGTACCTCTCGAATTCGAAATGTATCTCATTTAGCAGTTTAAAAATATTAATATTTTCGAAATGTTATTTAATTTAGTTTTGGCCAAAATGACTTCTTACGAGTATAATATTTGTATGTATTGTTGAAAGTAATTCATGAATAATAATTGGAAAATATTATTAAAACACTTGTGTTTTATTTCCCACCGAAATCAAGTATACTAATATTTTGACAGCTTCAAAGATATTGTGATAAAAGTTAGAAAATATTATCGTTTTTTTAAAATATTATTGTTATGTAAAATGTAATTAACCTTCAAATCTCAATGTCTATGCGAACTGTCTATGATAGCTATGGGTATTAGGGTGTCAGTTATATTAGACTGGACTCTACATTAAAATAAATGCCTAGTCTCGTCGTCTCTACTTGCTATGCGTTGAGAAATTCGATATTGTGGTTAATTCACACAGAAAATTAAACATAACACTTTTCCTACTGCAGCTTGACTCTGGGCATATGAAAGCGTCAACCGTCTTCTAGTTTAATTCTCTGAGTGCAGTAATTTGCATATAACAATTAACACCACATGTTTATCTTAAAATAATTGAATTCAAAATCTTTATGCAAATATAGTGATATATTCGCGGTAATATGTTTTTGCGGTAAACTTAAAAATATTAGCTGTTAGTAACTCTGCTGGTGTCGCTGTACATAATAATAATACTTGTATTACTTTCACAAGACAAACCGCCATTAGGTATGACAGAGGTTGCGCGCATATAAATCATTTATATTCAACCCAATATAAAGATATTAGCTTTTCCGTATAGGTACTAAACCGATTTTTATTTTCAATGCTACCATTTTTATTGGAAACGACACCAGACCGCGTATCTGACATTAATCAGAAACGGAGTGTTTCCCCGCGCTAATAAAACATTATTGTATAAAAAACCCTCTTATACAATATTATCAACGATAAATACAATGTCATATTCTAGAGATGTATTTTATGAATTTCATTTTTCCGCAACTGAAAGCTTTTGAAGTATAATATTGATGTTCGACAACGTTCTCGTGCTTTGCATGACTAAATTCGTCACAAAATGTAATATTTCGAATTTATTACTCATATTGTTTTCTGCACAGCATTCGTGTGACAATATTGCGTTTGTCTGCCGCGTGCCTACCTTGTTTATGTATATTGACAGATGTACATACTCACAGCCACCGTCAGATATTTTATTTAGTAATTTTTCTACAGTGAAGACGAGATGGTTCAGTTTTCATTTTTTTTTTTTTTTTGGTTCATCATTATTTTCATGTAACCTGATCGTGTAGCTTCACACGTTTGAATACTATATTACTAGACAGGCACGTGGAATTGAAATGCGCTAAAACAGCGACTGGTAACTCAACGCTAATAATAATTATGTGTTGGGGGGGATCGTTTTCGATACTAACGACATTCGTTATTATTTCCAAGTTACAAGAAATACAATTTAAAAAAAAAGGTGCCGTATTACAATATTAGTATAGAGTGAATGTTTATTCGCAGTACTCTTGTATGAATAACGCAAAATAATATATTGTTCTTTAACAAGCAATGCTGTTCCCAGTTTTGTATTGGATTAAAATAATATTAAACGTTAAAAACAACATCAAAGAAGATATCATATTATTTACTTTTCATTTTCCGACCAAAGTGTTTTAGTCTCGACATTGTTATTTTGAGATTGTTCTGCTTGCAAATGAAATATTGTTTTATAAAAATGTAAAAAAAATTGAATACTTTCGTTTTTAATCGAAAACATATTTTTTTATAAGGCACGAGTAAAACAAAAATAAGTGTAATATATGTTTTATTACAGAGGTATTTTACCAGTTTAATTTTCTGTGAATAACAATGATAAAACCTGGAAACAATCTTAGTCCCGAGAAAAAGATTTAAACTGTTAAAAAAAGTAAAAACAATGACTGGTTATTTTCTTCGAGATCTTGTTGTATAAACAAAAAAAACATAAACTTCTGTACGATTGGGTTTTCGGTTAAAATTACAAAAGTAAAAGGAAAAATACCGAACAGATGTAAGAAACCTGCAATTTTTGAAGTGCACTTTTATCGTGCTGCGTGCGGCACATGGACGTTAATCTAATAAGAAATGATAAAGGCTAAAAGAAAAACAAAAATCAATAACTAAAATCTCGAAATTGAGTTTTGTTTCCTACCGTTGCGATAAACTTGTACTTTTACTTTTATTTTCCGGTTAAATCTTTACCCGCAGCCAACCTCGATTACATTTTAGGGTTGATTCTTACGATTTTCTTCTTCTTATATATATTTTTTTTTCCCTCTTTACCCTTCGGATGTATTTTTGGTTATTTGTCCGTGTGTGCTGTTTACACACTCGCACATAAGCTCAAGCGCTAATATTCTCTAAAGACTAATTCATTGACTATCGGTATAGCAAACACAAAAGATAATATAATATCATATTCTATTAAGAGTGTTTCCTTCTAAGAGTTAATAAGTAAAAAAATTCAAAATAAATCTAAAATCACCCGTAAAATATACTATTAACGAGCAGCTAATTTTTTTAACTAAATATTTTTTCTAGGTGGGGGATATCCCGTAGTGTTTTCAACGATTATTTATTTTATTTTTCAATTAACAAGCGGGATGTTTAATTAGACGGAACTAATCCTTAGACGTAATCCCCAGACGAATCTGTGCGTCGTTACAGAGAGAGACAGTGAGGGGGGGACGTTTCTTCACACGGAACGGATTAATTTTTTCGTTTAAAAAATGAACCGTCACATAAAATATAATTTCCATAAAAGATCACCTGTTTGAAAAAAAAAAAACAAATAATAATATACTACACTAACTATTACACTGTATCATTATAAATATAACGTTGAATTGTTTTTTCCTGAACGAAAAATACAAATGCCGAAAACAGTCAACTAATGTTGTAATTTCAACAAAACCCTGTGTTAACCCTTGATTTTGGTCACAACGTATAGGAAAATTTAAATAATTTATTGTTATCGACCCAGCAGCGTTTGAATTACTTACCTTCATTCGACGTGGGATTCTAAATTGGACATCGAATGGGTGGGACACGCAAATGCATGTTATTCGTCCACCAGCTTTCGAATGTACACGACAGCGGCTTTCCGCGACACACAATCAGGAAATACAATTCATTGTAATAACACAGTCGAGTCTACAACTTCAAGACATTTTAATAACTATCATGACATGTGCACTACGATTCGTATATAACTGAGAAATTCTACATCCATTTCGCAATTAAATCACAATGTATTTGGCAAGTTTATTTTGTTTTTATTTTGGAGTCGATTTATTTCATTTCGTTGTAGATGAAGTTAAATTCCATTGTGGCGAAATACAATGTTAGTGGCATATTTCAGATAGAAAATTTATTACACAGCCATTTCTTTTGTGCGTTCTATATTGTCGACAATTCGCTGTGGTAGCTTAAGTAAACTAAGTAGTTTCGGTAGTTAGGCTTTCGCGTTACTTTCTTTGGCGAAAGAATATCAGTTTTAACCCTTATGATAATAATTATGGCTGTCATATAATAAATGGTACATTATATGTAATGTGGTTTATTTATGTATGATCGAAATAAAGATCACTAAATAAAACCTTTAAGTAGTTTATTTGAAATCACATTATTAATATTATTTTATTACGGGATTATTATTTTCCTAAATGGCCGACAAAGTCTTTAAATATCACTACGGTTAGATTTGGTCCAAAGAAAACCAAATTTGGTACTAATCATGTTTAATACCAAAGAAAGTGTATGCACA